GCCGACGACACAACAGTGGTAGGCCTGATCACCGACAACGATGAGACAGCCTATAGGGAGGAGATCAGAGACCTGGCCGTGTGGTGCCAGGATAACAACCTCTCCCTCAACGTGACCAAGACAAAGGAGATGATTGTGGACTACAGGGGGAAAAAAAGAGGACTGAGCACGCCCCCATTTTCATCAACGGGGCTGTAGTGGAACAGGTTGAGAGCTTCAAGTTCCTTGGTGTCCACATCACCAAGGAACTATCATGGTCCAAACACACCAAGACAGTCGTGAAGAGGGCACGACAAAGCCTATTCTCCCTCAGGAGACTGAAAAGATTTGGCATGGGTCCTCAGATCCTCAAAAAATTATACAGCTGCACCATCGAGAGCATCCTGACTGGTTGCATCACCGCCTGGTATGGCAACTGCTTGACCTCCGACCGCAAGGCACTACAGAGGGTAGTGCGTACGGCCCAGTACATCACTGGGGCCAAGCTTCCTGCCATCAAGGACCTCTATACCAGTCAAAGACTCCAGCCACCCTAGTCATAGACTGTTCTCTCTGCTACCGCACGGCAAGCGGTACCGGAGTGCCAAGTCTAGGTCCAAAAGACTTCTCAACAGCTTCTACCCCCAAGCCATAAGACTCCTGAACAGCTAATCATGGCTACCCAGACTATTTGCACTGCCCCCCACCCCATCTTTTTACGCTGCTGCTACTCTGTTAATTATTTATGACTGTAAGTCGCTTTGGATAAAAGCGTCTGGTAAATGGCATATTATTATTATTATTATTATTATTATTATTATTATTATTATTATTATTATGCATAGTCACTTTAACTCTACCCACATGTAAATATTACTTCAACTACCTCAACTAGCCGGTGCCCCCGCACATTGACTCTGCACCGGTACCCCCCTGTATATATAGCCTCCCTACTGTTATTTTATTTTACTTCTGCTCTTTTTTTCTCAACACTTTTTTGTTGTTGTTTTACTTTACTTTTTTTATTAAAAAGAAATGCACTGTTGGTTAAGGGCTGTAAGTAAGCATTTCACTTTAATGTCTGCACCTGTTGTATTCGGCGCATGTGGCCAATAAAATTAGATTTGATTTTAGATTTGATATAGATTAATTAGCCAAATATTTGCATCGTCCAATAGCCTATTTAAAATTACCCACCTTACATTCGGATCAGTTTGGACAGTTTGCACATTCGGATCGAAATTGTTATTAATTAATATCGTCATCCCTTTTTAGTTTCTTTGCCCATGACAGAACTATATTTCTCCCTCCCAGTCCTTTTTCCATACAACCTCATCTGTAATTGTAAAGTGAGTTTCCTATAAACAATAGATACAGTATTATATTCCTTCCCTTTAGCCAGGTAAAGACTGATTGTCTTTTTTTATAATCTGCTAAACCATTACAATTGTAACTAGCTATACTTATTTCACCACTTGCCATAATGAGATACAAGTTTCAATTATACTTACCATAATGTATGGCTGTAAACTTACTACCAAAAAGTACCATGATGATCAAGCTGCTAGACACCCTGAATTAATCCATACTTACCAATACTACCAGAATCAATGTGTGACATCTATCCATGTAGCTCTACCATAATATATGCACTGCTAAACATACTGCAGCTGATACTAACTCTAAGTAAACCTCCAATTGTCTAATTACAAGGACTTTTCTTCTTGAATTTCTGAGCCTCAAGTTCAATTGGCTACTTCAATATCCTTGTATTGTTTAAATTGCAGGTGTAACATGGAAAACAAACTATATTTTTCATGTTATTTCATTACCAGATCATATTGTGAATAAGCCCACTAGGCTATGTAAATTTTTGTCATTATATCCAGAATAATTAATAGGAATAGCGTTGCGTGTCTTTGCGTTTTGGTACACCAGAAGTACATTAATTTCCAATGGAACGCTGCGTTTGCCTTGCAGCATTGCGTTGCAGAGGCAGTTGCAGTACGTTCTATGTGGTGCATACGTTCGATTTATGGAACGAATGTGTCAAACTGTATGCATAAACGGGTTGACAGAAATGGTAGCAGAAGGTGAATGTTGAACTTTTGTTGCACACATATCTAGATGATGCTGCATACTATTTCGCGCAATTTCAAAGCATAAAAGTCTATCCTACACAATTCCGCTCAGGAGACTCCGTGTCCAATCTGAGTTTAAAGAAAACATGAACACATTACCTTGATGCTTTCTCTGTTAAATCTAAGGAGACCCTGCTGTAATTAAATCAAGCAGACAACAACAGATTATCAACCTCAATTTGCTAGGGATATTAGATCCAAGGTGGATCCAGGCACAACTGTCTTCAACAGCATAACGACACCCAAATATTCCTGGACATTCCTCGTGAACAGATTTTTTCCAGCACTTGGGCTGTTGTTGCATAGCATGTGCTATCACACCAGCTGTTCATCACTTGACTTTCATTTGGAAAATTCCTTCCTGGATCAGATGATATCATGGTGACTCTTTCTGTTAGAAGCATTCGATTTTGCAATTGCATTTATTATTTTGGATTTGTGTGCCCATGAAAACTGTTTTCACCCCATAAAATAAGGAGACATCAAATGTTATGTACTTACACTGCACTTCTGATATCTCTATAGCCTACAAAAAAACTGTCCAACAGCTAGATCCAGGATTCTTACAGGGTTAATGTTCAATGTTTAATTGAACAGATTAATGCTTAATATATGAAATAATTACAATTTACACTGCCATAAATGCAAGGACAGAAAAGTAATGTTTTATGTCACACGATTTTGGACAAATCCTTAAAGATAACGAGTTACATAGGTTTTAAATCAACTCGTGAATTTTACTGAATACAGCTATTAACCCCCTTATATCTTAATACAATGGCATGAAACATTTTTGCAGATTATTCAATGATTTATCAACAGCTGTAACAAGTTGTCCAGTGTAGGAAATCCTAGTTTATAGAAAGACCCAATTTAAGGGTAGTAGGATTCACTTTCATGTATGCCCAGTAGGGAGCAGTAATAGTAAAGTATTTTCATACTCCGTGGTGTTTTGGTCTTTTCGAGTTTCCGTATGTGCAACCGCAATATTATTTCATAGTCATGAAAAGCATTCATTTAACTACAGACAGGTAAATATATTTTCTTTCTCTCTCTCTCTCTATATATATATATATATATATATATATATGTATATTTATCTATCTATCTAAGCATGTATGAGCTTTATAATATTTGATGACAAGTTGGGTGTGTAGCTAACTATACAAGCCATCTGTTTGCCGGCTAGAACTATTTTAGCCAAATTTAATCTTAGCGACTGTCTTAAACAACATGTAGCTAACGTTAGGCCTGTTAGAACACAACATTTGTTATGAAATTTACATTCAAATCACTACGGAATCCTAGCCTCATGATTGAAGCCTGTGTCTTTGGTGCTAACATTAGCAATACTAGCTAGCTAAGTAGCTAACCCTGCTTCATCTGAAAGTGTTTTCAACAATAACAGACAATACAGACTAAGCGACTGTAAGCAACCATCTGTCAACACTGTAGTCCTATTGCAACTAATAACAAGTATGACGTTAACGACAATATAGGCAACTTCGTCGGTGATGGTGGGAGTGGTTTTGCAGTATGGAATCATGTGAGTTTGAGCCTTGAACAACAGAAAAATATTGGTATAAAATGACTAAATATCATTCTATAGGCTTTTGAGCGTCTTTAAAATATTTCCCAGATGTTATTAGACGAAGATAACCAGAGCAACATATAGGGAGTTCCAATATGATCAGAAAACTACAGATGGGTTATATAGATACACTACATGACCAAAAGCATTGTCATGCTGAAACATGAAAGGGCCTTTCCCAAACTGTTGCCACAAAGTTGGAAGCACAGAATCGTCTAGAATGTCATTGTATGCTGTAGCGTTAAGATTTCCCTTCACTGGAACTAAGGGGCCTAGCCCGAACCATGAAAAACAGCCCCAGACCATTATTCCTCTTCCATCAAACATTACAGTTCGCACTATGCAATGGGGCAGGTAGCGTTCTCCTGGCATCCGCCAAACCCAGATTTGTCCATTGGACTGCCAGATGGTGAAGCGTGATTCATCACTCCAGAAAACGTGTTTCCTCTGCTCCAGAGTCCAATGGTGGCGAGTTTACACCTCTCCAGCCGATGCTTGGCATTGCGCATGGTGTTCTTAGGCTTGTGTGCAGATGCTCGGCCATGAAAACCCATTCATGAAGCTCCCGATGAACAGTTCTTGTGTTGACGTTGCTTCCAGAGGCAGTTTGGAACTCTGTAGGGAATGTTGCAAACGAGGACAGGTGATTTTTACACGCTCTTCAGCATGTACAGTTGAACGGGGCAGCTCTAGCAGGGCAGAAATTTGACGAACTGACTTGTTGGAAAGGGGGCATCCTATGACGTTGCCACATTGAAAGTCACTGAGCTCTTCAGTAAGGCCATTCTACTGCCAATGTTTGTTTATGGAGATTGCATGGCTGTGTGCTCGATTTTATACACTTGTCAGCAACGGGTGTGGCTGAAATAGCCAAATCCACTAATTTGAAGGGGTGTCCACATACTTTTGCATATATAGTGTAGCTGAAAATGACTAGCCTTAATTTTATTAGTCATCTTAGGGATCCTACTTGAAAACGTCACAGAAGCTATTTCTGGTTTTGCTCATCACTAAACAGTCAATAGATATGAAATCATGTCTACGTATTTTTCACTTTCGACTACAAATTGAGATTTGTAAAAAAGTTTTTGGAAACGGATATTCATACCGTCATTTTGTTACCAAACTTTGCATAATGTCTACTGAAAAAAACACATTTACTTAAACTTAGAAATTAATTGATTTTGTTTGATATACAGTACATTTCAAAGTGAAAAATCAGAGTATTTTGATCTTTTGGGTGGTATGTTTTGTTATTGACAGGTCACGAGTCTGTTCATCTGCTGAAGATGGATCAATATGGGAGATATGAAAGCAGTGGTCAGCCAGAAGAGCTTTTTGTAGGTTAACCCATATTTTATGCATTCTTCAAAATAAGAACATTTAATTTTACAATATCTAAAACAATCGGCTATCAATTAACAAGTGTTATTGGTCCAATTAAGTTTATTCACCAACCATGGTCTGTTCTAGGATCACTCATTGCATTGGAGCGAGGTTAAAGAGGAGGTTGAAGAATGTCCGATATCAGCTGTGTCATTAGGAGTTGAAACATCCCAGGTCTGTACAAAGGAGGACTCCGATGAACAAGATCCTTCCTTTGACACAGTTTCAGACATCCATGGAGTCACAGAGCAAGAGTGTGGACATAAAGGCATAACATATCTCAAAGTAAAGGTAAGTATCTCCTCAACACTGTTCAAGCCCAGTTACAAGGCCCAGAGTTGTTAGAATGATACTGAATGAACTTTGTTTTCTGTGTCAGGTGCTGCCTTCTCCAGTCCCAGTCAAAGAGGAGTCTGAAGAATTCTCCCTTCTGCCAGTAGATGAAGAGGAAATTGCTTTAATTACAGTGAAGAAGGAAGAGCATGAAGACTGGTTGAAATCAGAAGATGAGGATGTTGTGAAAGTGTCAGTGCCTTGGGAGCCGTTGAAAACACCATCATCATCATGCTCAGATACAGAGGACAGTAAGATGGAAAGTGATAATGTGGGGGTGAGTTCAAGCATTTAATAACAGACTGAGTGGAATAGATATGTTTTGAGATGTTTGTAGGGTCAAACTAAAAGTTTCTTCATTCCACTAATTGTTTTGACCGTTCTGCACTATACCTATTATTAGCTGTGTACGACAAATCTAGCTTTCAGTCTTCATTCTTTCTGCCACTATGTGACTGTATTTGGAGTGGGCTACTGACATAAACAAGAAATAGGCCAGGTATAGGTGTGGCGACAATATCTAAATTTAAGCCTATAGCTTCATAATAAAGTTAAGATTTCACAAACACAAAGCATAGCTTTCTTGAGCAGCTACAGTACTAGCTTGAGTGCTGGGCCTAGTTAGTATTTAGCCCCTTCTTAAAGGTAACTGACTTTCTGACTGAACTGAATCCCCCCTCATCTCTGCTTCAAAGGACTGTGAAAACCATGAGCGTGGTGTTTCAATAGGAGTGAAAATTGAAGATTGCAGAAGGACATCATTGGATCCAGGGACGGCACCAGATACAGATGAGAAAGCTAATGCTGTTGATTTCAGTGAGTACCGTTGGTGGGGTGGGGTTGCAGTTATGGTGTAGAGATATAATAGTGTTACATTTCTCATTAACTATGGGTCTATAATGAAGTAGAACTGCAATTCATTTGATAATGTTCTCTCTTTCCTTAAGGTGACTTTGAAGAGGTGTCCTCCTTCTACTCCTGCCCCCATTGTGCAATCGGCTTCACCATAGAACGCTTTTTCCTTGGGCACCTCAAGAGGGACCACCCTAAAGATTACATCGCAATGCTGAAGTCTGGGAAAATCAAAGCCTATAAAAGAGGGAGTTTACGGGTGACCCCAGCCACATGCCCGCAATGTGGCAAGAGCTTCACCAATAAATATGTTATGCAAACGCATCAGAGGACTCATGCAGGGAAGAAATCCCATCACTGTGCAGACTGTGGGAAGAGCTTTGTCTACGCTGATGGACTTAAAAGACACAGATGGACTCACACTGGTGAGAGACCATATAAATGCTCTTGAGTGTGGGAAAGGATTCAATCAGGACGGAACTTAAAACGTCACCAACTATTCTGTAGAGGTACAAATATGATCTTTAGTGTGTATGTGTCAGAGGATGGCAATAAATAACATTATGAATATATAACTAGATCGTAATTGTACATGAAGTACAATTGATGGGACTTGCTTTCACTCTTTAAAAGTATTTTGGTGGTAGATAATTAAAAAGTTTTACTTTAGTATTTAAAGCAAATAAGTTTTAAAGTATGTATGGTATAGAAAAACGTTATAGTAGTGATAGTGTCTGCAATAGTAATGGTGGTGACACGTTATAGTTGAAAAAGTAAGTAAATTAAAAGTTAGAATAGCCTGAACATATTAAAGTCAGTTTGTTGTATATAGCTTGAACGGTTTAAGAGTTACTATTGGTGGGTTATATTATGCTAATTTATATAGTGACAGACGATACAAATGTTTAAGAATTGAAAGTTAGGATAGCGTGGACATGTGAAAGTTGGTTTGGTGGCTTTAGCTTGAGTGGTTCAAGATGTAATGTTGCTGAGTTATTTTACGCAAATGTAGTTATAGTTGATAAAAGTTTTAAATAATTTGTCGTTAGGATAGCCTGAATATGTGAAAGTTGGTTTGGTGTATCTAGCTTGAACAGTTCAAGAGTTATAATTATTGTTGGTAGTAATTATATGGAAATGTAAGTAGTTATCATTTATAGTGCAGACCAGAGCTAGACCAGAGCTAGTGCGAGGCAGAGCTAGCTACGCCCAGGACCAGAGCTCGACCAGAGCTAGTGCAGACCAGAGCAGTTGTTGTGGTCACAGTAGTGATCAGTAGTTTTGTGGTCAGTAGTTGTGGTTCAATAGTTGTGTGGTCAGTAGTTGTGTGGTTGTGGTCAGTAATCCTGGTGGTCAGTAGTTATGGTGATTAGTTGTGTGGTTGTGGTCAGAAGTTGTGTGGTTGTGGTCAGAAGTTGTGTGGTTGTGGTCAGTAGTTAAGTGGGTCAGAAGTTGTGTGGTTGTGGTCACAAGTTGTGTGGTTGTGGTAAGACATTGTGTGGTTGTGGTCGGTAGTTGTGTGACTGTGGTCACTAGATTTGGTCAGAAGTTGTATGGTTGTGGTCAGTTGTTGTGTGGTTGTGGTCAGTTGTTGTGTGGTTGTGGTCAGTAGTTGTGTGGTCACAATTTGTTTGGTTGTGGTCAGACGTTGTGTGGTTGTGGTCAGTAGTTGTGTGGTTGTGGTCAGAAGTTGTGTGGTTGTGGTCAGTAGTTGTGTGGTTACTCGATGTGGTCAGTAGTTGAGTGGTCAGTAGTTGTGTGGTTGTAGTCAGTAGTTGTGTGGTTGTGGTCAGTAGTTGTGTGGTTGTGGTCAGTAGTTGTGTGGTTGTGGTCAGTAGTTGAGTGGGTCAGAAGTTGTGTGGTTGTGGTCAGTAGTTGTGTGATTGTGGTCAGACATTGTGTGGTTGTGGTCGGTAGTTGTGTGACTGTGGTCACTAGATTTGGTCAGTAGTTGTGTGGTTGTGGTCAGTAGTTGTGTGGTCAGTAGTTGTGTGGTCACAATTTGTGTGGTTGTTGTCAGTAGTTGTGTGGTTGTGGTCAGAAGTTGTGTGGTTGTGGTCAGTAGTTGTGTGGTCACTAGATTTGGTCAGTAGTTGTGTGGTTGTGGTCAGTAGTTGTGTGGTTGTGGTCAGTAGTTGTGTGGTTGTGGTCAGTAGTTGTGTGGTTGTGGTCAGTAGTTGTGTGGTTACTCGATGTGGTCAGTAGTTGAGTGGTCAGTAGTTGTGTTGTCAGTAGTTGTGTGGTTGTGGTTAGTAGTTGTGTGACTGTGGTCACTAGATTTGGTCAGCAGTTGTGTGGTAGTGGTCAGAAGTTGTGTGATAGTGGTCAGAAGTTGTGTGGTTGTGGTCAGTTGTTGTGTGGTTGTGTGGTCAGTAGTTGTGTGGTCACAATTTGTGTGGTTGTGGTCAGAAGTTGTGTGGTTGAGGTCAGTAGTTGTGTGGTTACTCGATGTGGTCAGAAGTTGTGTGGTCACAAGTTGTTTAAATAATTTGTCATTAGGATAGCCTGAACATGTGAAAGTTGGTTTGGTGTATCTAGCTTGAACAGTTCAAGAGTTATAATTATTGTTGGTAATAATTATATGCAAATTTATAGAAATGTAAGTAGTTATAATTTATAGCGCAGACCAGAGCTAGACCAGTAGTTGTGTAGTCAGTAGTTTTGTGGTTGTGGTCAGTAGTTGTGTGGTTGTGGTCAGTAGGTGAGTGGGTCAGAAGTTGTGTGGTTGTGGTCAGTAGTTGTGTGATTGTGGTCAGACATTGTGTGGTTGTGGTCGGTAGTTGTGTGACTGTGGTCTCTAGATTTGGTCAGTGGTTGTGGTCAGTTGTTGTGTGGTTGTGGTCAGTAGTTGTGTGGTCAGTAGTTGTGTGGTCACAATTTGTGTGGTTGTTGTCAGTAGTTGTGTGGTTGTGGTCAGACGTTGTGTGGTTGTGGTCAGAAGTTGTGTGGTTGTGGTCAGTAGTTGTGTGGTTGTGGTCAGAAGTTGTGTGGTTGTGGTCAATAGTTGTGTGGTTACTCGATGTGGTCAGTAGTTGAGTGGTCAGTAGTTGTGTCGTCAGTAGTTGTGTGGTTGTGGTTAGTAGTTGTGTGACTGTGGTCACTAGATTTGGTCAGCAGTTGTGTGGTAGTGGTCAGAAGTTGTGTGATAGTGGTCAGAAGTTGTGTGGTTGTGGGCAGTTGTTGTGTGGTTGTGTGGTCAGTAGTTGTGTGGTCACAATTTGTGTGGTTGTGGTCAGAAGTTGTGTGGTTGAGGTCAGTAGTTGTGTGGTTACTCGATGTGGTCAGAAGTTGTGTGGTCACAAGTTGTTTAAATAATTTGTCATTAGGATAGCCTGAACATGTGAAAGTTGGTTTGGTGTATCTAGCTTGAACAGTTCAAGAGTTATAATTATTGTTGGTAATAATTATATGCAAATTTATAGAAATGTAAGTAGTTATAATTTATAGCGCAGACCAGAGCTAGACCAGTAGTTGTGTAGTCAGTAGTTTTGTGGTTGTGGTCAGTAGTTGTGTGGTTGTGGTCAGTAGTTGAGTGGGTCAGAAGTTGTGTGGTTGTGGTCAGTTGTTGTGTGATTGTGGTCAGACATTGTGTGGTTGTGGTCGGTAGTTGTGTGACTGTGGTCACTAGATTTGGTCAGTAGTTGTGTGGTTGTGGTCAGTTGTTGTGTGGTTGTGGTCAGTAGTTGTGTGGTCACAATTTGTGTGGTTGTTGTCAGTAGTTGTGTGGTTGTGGTCAGACGTTGTGTGGTTGTGGTCAGAAGTTGTGTGGTTGTGGTCAGTAGTTGTGTGGTTGTGGTCAGAAGTTGTGTGGTTGTGGTCAATAGTTGTGTGGTTACTCGATGTGGTCAGTAGTTGAGTGGTCAGTAGTTGTGTGGTTGTAGTCAGTGGTTGTGTGGTTGTGGTCAGAAGTTGTGTGGTTGTGGTCAGTAGTTGTGTGGTTGTGGTCAGTAGTTGAGTGGGTCAGAAGTTGTGGTTGTGGTCAGTAGTTGTGTGATTGTGGTCAGACATTGTGTGGTTGTGGTCGGTAGTTGTTTGACTGGTCACTAGATTTGGTCAGTAGTTGTGTGGTTGTGGTCAGAAGTTGTGTGGTTGTGGTCAGTAGTTGTGTGGTTACTCGATGTGGTCAGTAGTTGTGGTCAGTAGTTGTGTCGTCAGTAGTTGTGTGGTTGTAGTCAGAAGTTGTGTGGTTGTGGTTAGTAGTTGTGTGGTTGTGGTTAGTAGTTGTGTGACTGTGGTCACTAGATTTGGTCAGCAGTTGTGTGGTAGTGGTCAGAAGTTGTGTGGTAGTGGTCAGAAGTTTTGTGGTTGTGGTCAGTTGTTGTGTGGTTGTGTGGTCACAATTTGTGTGGTTGTGGTCAGAAGTTGTGTGGTTGAGGTCAGTAGTTATGTGGTTACTCAATGTGGTCAGTAGTTGTGTGGTCACAAGTTGTGTGGTGGTGGTCAGTAGTTGTGTGATTGTGGTCAGACATTGTGTGGTTGTGGTCGGTAGTTGTGTGACTGGTCACTAGATTTGGTCAGTAGTTGTGTGGTTGTGGTCAGAAGTTGTGTGGTTGAGTTCAGTAGTTGTGTGGTTACTCAATGTGGTCAGTAGTTGTGTGGTCACAAGTTGTGTGGTGGTGGTCAGTAGTTGTGTGATTGTGGTCAGACATTGTGTGGTTGTGGTCGGTAGTTGTGTGACTGGTCACTAGATTTGGTCAGTAGTTGTGTGGTTGTGGTCAGAAGTTGTGTGGTTGAGTTCAGTAGTTGTGTGGTTACTCAATGTGGTCAGTAGTTGTGTGGTCACAAGTTGTGTGGTGGTGGTCAGTGGTTGTGGTCAGAAGTTGTGTGGTTGTGGTAAGACATTGTGTGGTTGTGGTCGGTAGTTGTGTGACTGTGGTCACTAGATTTGGTCAGAAGTTGTATGGTTGTGGTCAGTTGTTGTGTGGTTGTGGTCAGTTGTTGTGTGGTTGTGGTCAGTAGTTGTGTGGTCACAATTTGTTTGGTTGTGGTCAGACGTTGTGTGGTTGTGGTCAGTAGTTGTGTGGTTGTGGTCAGAAGTTGTGTGGTTGTGGTCAGTAGTTGTGTGGTTACTCGATGTGGTCAGTAGTTGAGTGGTCAGTAGTTGTGTGGTTGTAGTCAGTAGTTGTGTGGTTGTGGTCAGTAGTTGTGTGGTTGTGGTCAGTAGTTGTGTGGTTGTGGTCAGTAGTTGAGTGGGTCAGAAGTTGTGTGGTTGTGGTCAGTAGTTGTGTGATTGTGGTCAGACATTGTGTGGTTGTGGTCGGTAGTTGTGTGACTGTGGTCACTAGATTTGGTCAGTAGTTGTGTGGTTGTGGTCAGTAGTTGTGTGGTCAGTAGTTGTGTGGTCACAATTTG